AACAAAAAAAATTCCAAAAATCGACGGTAATATGTTTCGGTCTTATAATTGTACAACGCAGTGTACTATTAACTTGTTTGACTTGTGTTTAGAGCAACTTTGAAATGCTTTTGATTTTTTTAACAACGTTAATTTATTCGTCATTTATGTGTTAAAATAAGTATAAAACAAATTTTTTGTGTTTTCAATGTGGAGAACTTGTCCTCCTGGAATGCTAAACAATTCAGGTCACCTTAGATGTGACACATGCCGCTATGTTTTACAGTTCAACATATGCAGGCCTTTATATATATATATTATATATAAAATTCTCCAAAATTTTAATGTATGCAGATGATGTAAAACTTTATAAATCGTACGTTTCAATTGAAGAAAGGTCTTTGCTACAATCAGACTTAAACAGCATGGCTTACTGGTGTAAAGTAAATCTTATGCCTCTAAATCTTAAGAAATGTAAAGTAATGTGCTTCTCGCGAAGAGCTGTTCTGCCAGTTTCTTATATAATAGGTAACCATAACCTGGAACAGGTATACAATTTTGTGGACCTTGGTATCACAATGGATCCTAAGCTTAATTTTAATCTTCACATTAATGTGACAGTCAACAAGGCTAAAGGTGTACTTGCATTTGTGAAACGATGGTCAAAAGAATTTAGTGACCCGTATATCACTAAAACCCTGTTTACAACATTAGTTAGGCCGATTCTGGAATACGGCTAGGTGGTTTGGAATCCAAGGTATCAAATTTACTCAGACAAGATAGAATCAATTCAAAAACAATTCCTACTTTTTGCTTTAAGAAATTTCCGATGGGATTCTCATTATAGTCTTCCACCTTATACGAGTCGCTTAAAACTTATTAACCTTCCTACACTTGCCAGTCGCAGGGAAATGCTTGGTATAATTTTTATGGTTAAATTACTGACAGGCTCAATTTCAAGTCCGTCTCTTCTGGCTGATGTAAGCTTTAAAGTTCCGTCACGCGTATCAAGACACTTTTGTCCCATATTTCTGAAAGCTTGTAAAACCAATTTTGAATTGCACGACCCACTCCGTTGCTTATGCCAGGATTTTAACTCTCATTCCGGCACGTTTGATATATCAGATCCGCTTTTCAGCATTAAGAAAGCGATACTCTCCTCTCTCAATAAGTGAATTATTGACATAAATACATAAAATCAGCTGATGAATTTAGTTCTGTAGCTGAACAGTTTTAGATCTCGACACTTAACAAACTCCTGCCCATCGTGACTCGGCACAAAAATTTAAAATATTGGTTCCGTACGTCATGCGGACTGCGCCCCTCGTGCGGATGGGCGGGAATGGAGGGTAAAAACCGTTGGGATATTATTATTATTATTATTTAGTATATATGTAAGTGTATATCAACATTTAAGAGCATTGAAAGCATATATACATATGTACGCATTAGGAATGTTAATCCCGGGATCCTGGACTTTTTAAGGTCTCGAAAATCCCGGGATTCATGGCAAGTAATACCGGGATTTTCGGGATTTATAATTTGCACTGATGGCAATAATAGAAACTACTTTTCTTGACCAGTATTGCCTATATTTCTTTCTTTATTTAATAATTAATATTTTTTTATAAACGTGTAGCTCATCATACATATAACACCCCGCGATAGTCAATTTTATACACAAATATCAATATATTCGCGAAACCATGGGCCAAATATAGTAAAATTGCATTTTTAGCTTTTCACTCTGATGTCACTAATTCAAAAATGATTTAAAAAATTCAGAGAAATGTGCTTAGAGAAGAAGTATGGGTATAAAATTAATGAGGAAAGGACTGAGATTCAAGTTTCTGGTGCAGAAGGGCTGACAAATATTGAAAATCCTTGAAATATCGCAATAGTTGTTTTTGAAAAAATTGTATGTTACGGGCTTATATAAACTCGATAACATGCTAGAATTTCGTTCTCCTATCTTTGTCAGCTTAAAAATTACCTATTTGTCCTTGTGAATCCAAAAAATTTAAATTTTTTAAATTCTAATTTTTGGAATTAATCATATGTTTGAAATTACAAAGTCCTTCAAAATAAGTCCTGCAGTCACAGAGAAAAAATAAAAACGCCACTTTAAATAAAAAAGTAGGAGGTCAAACCCATTTATTTGTTATTTATTTCATGGTAGGAGAGCTTCTCAAACAACATAGAAGCAATTTTTTCGATCAAGTTGTTGAAAAGTAATGAATATCTAAATCCCGGGACTAATCCCGGGATCCCGAAATTGTGATAACGCCATCCCGAAAATCCCGGGATCGGAAAAAGCCGAAAAATTAACATCCGTACTATGCATTATATACTTTGTTTATTTTATCAACATTCGTCTAACAACATTTCGACTAAAGTGGAATCTCTGGGATTATCATTAAACTTAATTAAATGGAAAACTAAGCTAAATAACTTAAAGGTAAAATGAGTAATCCAGAGCGTTGTGTAGAAATTCGACTACTCAAAACCTGGAACTTATTTAGAATAACCATATGTTCCCGTAGACCACTTCAGATTTCTGTCATAATATCGACAATATATCGACAGTATTCAACAGAAATTTTTGCAATAACTTTTTGAGTTAAAAACTAATTGAAATTGACACATTGGACTCAATTGTGGTATGGTGCAATGCTAACGGTGGACGTTTGAACAAAAAAATTAATAATACAACTCGATCTTCAAAATTTAATCGGATATTTCGATAGGTTTGATAAAAACGTGTAAAATTTTCCGATTCCTTACATAGGATAAATTTTCCCACACATGGGTGAATTTCAAGCGAGTTGACGACCCTAGAAGGAGCCCAGTACGCTAGTGACCATCAGTGAGAGCTTTTTACTTTGTAAGTTTATATAAAATGTAGAAAGCTTTAAAACCTATTTCCGCGGGACACGTTTTGTTTTTATAGTAATGCGATCCTATATACAAACAATTGTATGTGCATACCACCCGTCAACGTAAATCGAGTTTACTTCAAAGTAAATCATAAAATGGCCAGCTTTTTGCCAGCTATAGGCTAGATATTTTGTTCAGTCACATAACATCAATTGCCAAACGAAATAAACAAGGTTGTAATTACACTTTTTGGGAATCTTATTTTCTGTTCATACAAAATTAAGATGTCTTAAACAGCTGCAATTTAGGTTTTAATAAACTTTTGGTGTTAAAGGAAAATCTTTATTAAATTGTTTTTTAATAATTAATCAATAATTTATTAATATAATTAATAATTTTTTCAAATTATTGTTGCTTTTCCACAATAAATTTTCATTAAAAAACGGCCTCGAGCTCAATAAAAATTGTTGAATATAATTGTTATAAGGCCATAAAATAACAAAAAAACAAATAACTTAAGGACCAGCACACCTAAAAAGTTAAACATTCTAATAATAGAAATATTAACAAAAACCAACAACCACATGATCAAGTGAATTGCAGCGGAATAGCTGCGCTTGATTGTAGTTGGCTTAGCATGTGAAATAGTGGAAATAAGCCACAAGAATTAACAAGGCGAACTTAGCACAGTGCGTAGGCAACTGGCTGAGTCAGTGGGATCGTCGGTTCGAATCCTACTGAAAGAAGTCTGATGCGGAAATGTGGTGATTTCACTTCTACCATTTTTTCAAATTATTGTTGCTTTTCCACATTAAAGTTTCATTAAAAAACGGCCTCGAGCCCAATAAAAATTGTTGAATTAATCACTTACATTATTTTTTTAACAATTAAGTTAAAAGCTAAAGGGAGAAATTTAGGTCAAAATAGTCTTACGTCCCATTTCCACCAAGAGCTTAACTGCAGTTAAGAGTCAGGTAAGTGCAGATAACTTTAACTAGGGGCGATAAGCAATGTTTATTTCGTATGGGCTGTTTTTGCTTACGCTTAAAATCACATTTGGCGCATTTAGCTCGAAATGCTACTATAAATGCCCATCTATCCATACAAAATTCGTCACCTGAATGCAACTAAATGCAACTCAAATGTGATCTTAAAAAATTTCCACGATTCGAACATGGTTTAATGAGAAAAAGTGGCAACATTGCTTTTTCGCGTATACAGTTGCTGCGTTTCAGTGATCGCCAATCGAGATTTCATTTATTATTTTACATTATTTGGATTAAGAAAAGTTTCGCAAATTCAACATCGATGTGATTCTGATAGAAATCTGGATCAATTTGTGGTCAACCCTGTTTGTTTTGTTTGGGAAATTTTAATTGACAGCACCGACAAATGAATATATACACAAACAAATTCTCGGTTACGGTTAAAACAGTTCAAGTTTTTTATTGAATTTTTTGTTCAACATTTCTTTTTTCCTTTTCAGTAGGGGTTTTTCACATTATCTTCTCCGTGCGAATTTATCGTGATAGATGCGGATCTGAATAAGCATACGATTTCGAACTCGCGTAAATGCACATTTGCTAAATGCGTTAGCATGAACGCTCTTCGAAAACATACATATGTTCGAAAGTGCTAAATGTTACATTTTAAATGCAGCAAAAAGGCTGGATTACTTTTTGCTTTCGATTGCTTGTACTTAATATGAGCAATTACCCCTTTCGAGTTGTAATCTCCTTTTTCCAATGGGCATAAACTGCAGTTAAGGCTTGGTGGAAATGAACTATTAAGGCAATATATGCCTCTCTAAGAGCACTGATTTGCCGCCGTATTTAGGTGTAGCCAATTACAAACATTATTTTGGCGCTAAATTATTGAGCTTTCAACCTGTAGAGTAATTACAAACATTCTTATTTCGTTAGGGAATCGACCAATTCTAACGTGCATATCTATTCGTATTCATGCTGTTCCTGTAATGCTGTAAGTGAACTTAAATGGCTGTTAAAAGAAGCTGTAAGCAGTTTGCAGTTGCCGCAGCATAAAGCATAAACCCCTTTTATTATTATTTTATTTCAAAAACGTATCACCTTTTTTTATCAAGTTTTGGTATAAGTAGTGTGTATAAGTTTCCTTAAATTACTTACGATTTCTCGGCAAAATTTCTTCAGTATCTGTTGCTGGGGTGAAGATCTTACGCAAATCAATATGTTTCGTGGCATTTGACGACTCCTGGGTTTCCGTTTCGGTTTAGTTTTGTTGTATTCAAAGTTGAAAAAGACAAAATAAAAATATATTTTTTTTTAAATACTCACACGCACCAGTATTTCTTTCTAGTTAAAACTACATAAATTTTTTTATTAATAACACAGGTCTACCAAAAGTTAAAAAAAAGTTATTCGACGCGCTGAATGCGAATCCGAGGTCTGTTAGCCCCAAGTAATAAAAAATTCATTGAATAAACCAGAAAACTCATATATATCGGGTCTTAGACTCACTGAACGCGAGTCCGAGGTCCGTTAACCTCCATAATGTCAGGCTCGAGGTCATTTGAGGGTCAAATAGGGCATACAATTTACTCAATAAAAATAAAAAATAAAAATTTAGGTTTTTGTTGTTGCTGAATAATATAATAATAATAATATTTGCTTTTGATTCTTCAAGGTCATCTAGAGGTCATGCCAAGGTCATCCCAAGGTCAAATTCAGAATAATTTATTGACCTTCAAATGACCTCGAACCTGATGTGAAGTAAGCTAGCAGACCTCGGATTGGCATTCAGGGCGTCGAATAACATAGAGATATAGAGGTCTGGTTCAATATGCAGAAACTTTTTTTTTAAACCTGTGTAATTAAAGAAGTTCAGAGCTTTATAGTGAACTCACTGCTATCTGAAAATAAAGTCCAAAGACAAAGGCTTTCTACAAGAACAAAGTTGTGAAAGATATCTTTCGGAAGCCTTTGGAATCACAAGAAGCCTTAAAAATGCATCGTGTATGGTGTTAGAGGCGATTGCAGGTTTGTCACACAGTGTAACAGAGAAAATCAACTTCCTGATTTGCCTAGTAGCGCTCACCGAATATTTTACGTAACTAAGCATGTATGTTTAAAATTTTGCAACATCCTGAAATTCTCAACTTATTCATAAAACACAATTTCTAAACTATCGTACGGATTGCCACATTTATATCTTTAGTTAGTTTTTATTATATGTATTCAGTAATTATTTATTATCCACTGATTTTTGCATGTATCATGCTGATTTTTTTCATGATAATAGTTAATTAGACCCGCTTTTTAGCCTAATTGTTTCAATTTTTCAAATAATAATTATTTTGTACAAAATTTTTAATTTTTATGAAAAATTAGTATAAACAAATGGAAATATTTATTACTTCTCGATCAGGTTTTTTAACCGTATACCTTGAATATCAATCCTTATTCTATAATACATTATTTAAAAGAAGAAAATAAGAAACTTGCACGGAGTCTCTAGTTATTAATTTTTTTCGCTCCTGCCTACGGTTGCCAGACGTACTGATTTTATCAGTACAGTACTGATTTTTCTACTCCTGTACTGATTTTATTATTTTCTTCAATCAGTCCTGATTTGTATTTGTACTGATTTGTATTGAATTTTCAATTCAAACAAAATACTTTATGATTTTCTTAAGGTTGTTACAAAACGTTGGAACTTCCTTAAACTGTACTGTAAAAAGTAAAAAGAAAATAATTTAATTATAGTTGACATGTTTCAGATAATGTTTGATATGCCCAATAAATTAATACCACAAATTATGGGAATATCGCCGGGTCGTTACGTACCAGTTGCGATAATATGATGGAGCTTAAATTATTTAAAAATAAGGCTGACGTTTTTTTTTTTGTCGAGTGTTGTTAGTTATCTCGTAAATAACTTTCAGTTCAATTACAACAAATTTGAATATTCGAATGGCTTTTGCCTATAACTTACAATTCTTTTCTCACTATTTACTGACATTGTAAAAGAGTTTTGCAAACAAAACATAGAGTTAGATACTCTTTTTAGCGAACTCTTAGTATTTCAAAGTTTTTGCGTAGTTGAAAAATTGTATTTAGGAAATGAGGAATTATAGATGAAACCTTAAATAGTGGTATTTTTAAACAGTCTGGAAAAATATGTAATTTTCTTTTTTTTCAATACCACACTCAAGCGAAGGAACTGGGAGGATCTTAAGAATAAAGTTTGCTTCCGAGCGCAAAGAGAGAAACCGGCTCCTAATTAAAATTGTTTAAAGAGAACTGCAAATTAGAAGTAATTTTAAAATGAAATGTATAGAATTCTTGTGACACTGAAGATGGAAATGATCTTACTAGTGCTATTCAAAAATGTCATAAATATAAAACAATTTACTGGCTTCAGTGTACAATGATATGTACACTAGAGTGGTTAAAAAAAATACTGTTTTTGGAAAATCAGAAACGCTACATCAAAATATTGTTATTTGTGATAAAAAAAATAGACTCGTATTTTTTTATTTCGAAAAAAAAGTTTTTTTAGAGGTTGCGCTGGCCGGTTTTTTTTATTTAAACGCTGATGCTCTCATTTTTTTATTTTCGTAATATGTGACCTGGTCTACGGAAAGGGGGGGAAGGGGGGGGTGTCAAAAAATCAATTTTAACTTTTTGGTTGATTCGGATGGAAGATGAGATGCTTTTTCACGTGGTGAAAAGCAGAAAATCCTAACTTGCTTAGAAGTGTACTAAAAATAATAATAATATTAATAATAATTATAATAATATTAATAATAATAATAATAAAACTATAATAATATTCCGACCAACAACAACACTTACTGGACCAACAACACTTACTGGACGTCCGGCGCGGAGAACAATTAACGAGATAATGAGAAACTGACGAAACGAGTTGCTTACTTTTAACAGCTTTTTCACAGAAAACTAGTTTTCGCACGTAAGCTCCCTTTTCGTAGACCAGGTCAGATATGTTAAAATGCAGCTAAAAATGTGGTTTTTACATGTAATTACTCTGGTATTAGTGGGAACATACCCTTAACTACATACCTGTCTTGGGCAGTTAGAATGGACCTACTAGTTCCCGAAAATATGCTCTCGAAAAGAGAATACTAAAATTAAAACGTTGATACTGAACGATTTACGTATTGTTATGGGTTGGAACTTGTTACCAGGAGGTTTCTGGGTTTGCTAATTAGGATCCTGAAGTCAGTTTTTCAAAATTCTAAATGGCGGATCCAAAATGGCGTCCAATATTTTTAAATATGATTGGATTTGTTCGAAACCAGGAACTCCGGAGTTTTTGGGGTCGGTGATTACGAATCTGAAGTCAATTTTTTTTTAATTCTAAATGACGGACACAATATATCGATCAAATTCTTAAAAAATTACTAAAATTAAAACGTTGATCAATTAAAAAAAATAAAAATTTGATTTGTTTGATGTTAAAATGAATGACACTGTTAGTTTTTCTGAACTATATTTTATTTATATACCAGAATAGATATTGTTATAAAAAAAATTAAGTACTCTGGCGTTTTAAAGTATTATCTGCTACTTAGATTCATAATTTTGCCTTGAATAAAAATGTACTGAAAAGTACTGTTTTTTTTACCATGGAGAAGTCTGACGTACTGATTTTGCGCACAAAAAATCTGGCAACCCTACTCCTGCCACGGGTGCTTTTGCTTTCATGCCGCGTGCCGCGCGGATTCGCAGCGAGCATGGTGCATCCAGAGAATGCAAAAAAAAAATACAATTTATTTGTAAACATAAGCATATTTAGACTATTTAATACAATATTTTTTTAAGTTGTATACATAAATGTGTACATACAGTGACGAACAAAATTATTTGCACAGTGAATTTTTCGCAATATAGCAAAGTTTTTTATTCTTATTTGTTTGCGATATGTTTTAATAAAAATATGCTTCATAAGCCACCATAAAACATAAAAATCAAATCTCCAAACTTTGTGCAAAACTCAGGAAAATTCAATAAATTTGCATACTAATTTGCAACTTTTTATTTTTTAATATTTTTATTGAGCTTTGTACCACGATTGTTCATTAGGAAAAATTGAAAAAGCAACAAAGTCTAAGCGGTAGAAGTTATAGCAGCTTTTTCGGAGATCACCACATCTCCTCATCAGACTTCTTTTTTTCTAGACTTCAGCAGGGATCGAACCTGCGTAATCGATGTTCAAAGTCAGAAGCGTTAACCACTGAGCTATGTACATCCCGTAAACTCTTGTTGCTAATTCATTTTCCTTATTCAACCAACTACTATCAAGTGCAAAAAAAGTTGCAACTTTTTATTCAGATTTCGTAGAAAAATTCTAGGAATGCAGTTTTATAGCCCAATTTTTTACTCAGATTTTTTAGAATTTTTAGTGGTGTGTGTTGCTTATTTTCCCCATACAAAAAATAATTGTCGAACATTCTTCGTATGGAAGAGCCTGAGTGAAAAAATTGCCAAAAATCAACGCGATTTTCTAGTAACTTCAAACTTAGACTTCTTATACTAAAATCGAGTGGGTTATAAAACCGCGTTCTTACTATTTTTCTAAAAAATCTGAGTAAAAAATTGCAAATTAGTATGCAAATTTATTGAATTTTCCTGAGTTTTGAACAAAATTTGGAGATTTAATTTTTATGTTTATGGTGAGCATGAACCATATTTCTTTAAAAAATTATCGTAAATAAATAAGAATAAAAACCTTTGCATATATTTCGAAAAATTCTCTGTACCAATACTTTTTTCGTCACTGTATGTACATATTTATTTATGTCTATGCTTATGTTTATAAATAAATTTTTTTTTTTGCATTCTCTGGTTGCCCCACGCTCGCTGCGAGTCCGCGCGGCACGCGGCATGAAAGCAAAAGCACCCGTGGCAAGAGCGAAAAAAATTAATACATAACTAGAGACTCCGTGCAAGTTTCCGTATTTTCTTTTCTTTTAAATAATGTATTATAGAATAAGGATTGATATTCAATGTAAACGATTAAGAACGTGATCTAGAAATAATAAATATTTCCATTTGTTTATACAAATTTTTTATAAAAATAAAGTTTTTAATAAAATAATGATTATTTGAAAAATTTAAACAATCAGGCTAAAGCGTGTCTTATTAACTTTTATCATGAAAAATATCAGCAAAAATACATGCTATGAATCAGTGAATAATAAATAGTTACTGAATTCAACAAAAAAAATA